TTGGAAGATGCTTATAACCATTAGAAGATGCCTATAACCATTGGAAGATGCTTATAACCATTGGAAGATGCCTAACCATTGGAAGATGCTTAGAACCATTGGAAGATGCTTATAACCATTAGAAGATGCCTATAACCATTGGAAGATGCTTATAATCATTAGAAGATGCCTATAACTATTGGAAGATGCTTAGAACCATTGGAAGACGCCTAACCATTGGAAGATGCTTATAACCATTAGAAGATGCCTAACCATTGGAAGATGCTTATAACCATTGGAAGATGCTTATAATCATTAGAAGATGCCTATAACCATTGGAAGATGCTTAGAACCATTGGAAGACGCCTAACCATTGGAAGATGCTTATAACCATTGGAAGATGCCTAACCATTGGAAGATGCTTAGAACCATTGGAAGATGCTTATAACCATTAGAAGATGCCTATAACCATTGGAAGATGCTTATAATCATTAGAAGATGCCTATAACCATTGGAAGATGCTTAGAACCATTGGAAGACGCCTAACCATTGGAAGATGCTTATAACCATTAGAAGATGCCTAACCATTGGAAGATGCTTATAACCATTAGAAGATGCCTAACCATTGGAAGATGCTTATAACCATTGGAAGATGCTTATAACCATTAGAAGAAGCCTAACCATTGGAAGATGCTTATAATCATTAGAAGATGCCTATAACCATTGGAAGATGCTTATAACCATTGGAAGATGCCTAACCATTGGAAGATGCTTATAATCATTAGAAGACGCCTATAACCATTAGAAGAAGCCTAACCATTAGAAGATGCTCAGAATCATTGGAAGACGCCTATAACCATTTGAAGATGCCTATAACCATTAGAAGATGCCTATAACCATTGGAAGATGCTTATAACCATTAGAAGAAGCCTAACCATTGGAAGATGCTTAGAACCATTGGAAGATGCTTATAATCATTAGAAGAAGCCTAACCATTGGAAGATGCCTATAACCATTGGAAGATGCTTATAACCATTAGAAGAAGCCTAACCATTGGAAGATGCCTATAACATTAGAAGATGCTTATAATGATTAGAAGAAGCCTAACCATTGGAAGATGCTTATAACCATTGAAAGATGCTTATAACCATTAGAAGAAGCCTAACCATTGGAAGATGCTTATAACCATTAGAAGATGCCTATAACCATTGGAAGATGCTTATAACCATTGGAAGAAGCCTAACCATTGGAAGATGCTTAGAACCATTAGAAGATGCCTATAACCATTGGAAGATGCTTATAACCATTAGAAGAAGCCTAACCATTGGAAGATGCTTATAACCATTAGAAGAAGCCTAACCATTGGAAGATGCTTAGAACAATTGGAAGATGCTTAGAACCATTGGAAGATGCTTATAACCATTAGAAGATGCTTATAACCATTAGAAGAAGCCTATAACCATTGGAAGATGCTTAGAACCATTGGAAGATGCTTATAACCATTAGAAGATGCTTATAACCATTAGAAGATGCTTATAACCATTAGAAGATGCCTATAACCATTAGAAGATGCCTATAACCATTGGAAGATGCTTATAACCATTGGAAGAAGCCTAACCATTGGAAGATGCTTAGAACCATTGGAAGATGCTTATAATGATTAGAAGATGCC